ATCATGGTACTCATCCTCTAACCCCTCTCCATTCAGGCAGTTCAGCATAGTTCCTTCCTTGCACTTTCTCTGTTGTTTTCTGAAGACTGTTCTATGTCTCCCGGCCAAAGGATGCCTGAAGGTAAATTTGGCCAGTATTCCACTGACATAGTTCAGGCTGACCTTAATGACTGAGTAGCTATATTTGCAAAGATCGTGCTTACAGAGGGCCAGTAAGAAAACAAAGTAAGTTTAATTTCCAAACTGTGGAAGATGTGCAGAGCTTCTGTTGCCACCATTAGATATTTTCAGCACTTAACACATTCTCTCCTCCCATGACCAAATAGCCAGAATTCAGGAACTCAGTTGTGGTGAATGGTGAGTAACTAATGAGCTACAATTCACATTGTCGGGCCTAACATTCTTCCAAAACCGGACATATACTAAATCACCAAGAAGACTCTGGCCATTCTAGGTAATGTACGGCTTGACCCTCAGAAGGAATAAAACTGGGGCAACATTTCAGATGTGCTGAATGTGACAACCCCAGACCTACTGGGATATGCCACAGTTTCACTAAGCTGCCACCAACCATTCCCTGTAAGGAGTCACACAGACCAGGGATGGATTTTCAACAAATAAAGGAATAAGGTTTATTTAAATAACACACAGGGAAAAATAAAATGATCAAGTGAATAAGATACAGTAACGTGGCTTAGTCTCAATCATACATACACCAGTTTGGTTCACACAGAACACCTTTAAATAAAGCACAGACCCTGAACCTATCAGTTCTGGCTACCCATACAGACACCTGAACCTATCAGGTTGGTACTGACTGACACACAGTGGTACCCTGTCTGACACACAGACTCCCACACCAGCTTCTTCTCTCAGCTCTCCTTCAGCTCCTCCTAACTTCTCCACACAAACTCCACATATATATACAGTACAGCCCCTCCTCCTGATGTCCCGCCTTCCACTCCCCATAGGATGGAACTTTCCCTCCAAACCCATGACAGACAGGTAACATCAGTGCTGTATGTAACACTGATGTTTTCCATCTTCTTTATTCTGAGGCTTAAATAGTTGCTTTGAAAAATGATATTGAGTTTTTAATTATATTTTCAATTTTTTTCTGTACATATCTTTGAATATTTTTAGACCGAGAAGCCAGTCAAAATCAGTGGTGGATCAATTAGTGGGTCACAAATAGTACTCTAATTATTCCGTGGGACATATTTAAAAGAATTTTGCTTCTGAACTGTTCAAAATTACCAGAGCCAATATCTTTTTAAGTGAGCTCAGGCTATTGTATTTATTTATTGCTCTCCTTTGATGTCTATCCCTCCTTCGGTGTACTCTTTGCAGGACATGAAGTAACTTGCACTAATATGAAATAGGGTAAAATTAAAACGCAGGACAAAATGAAATATTAAAACAGTATTGTTGTTGAATCAGATATGGAACTGGTCTAAAGCCTGTTTGATGGGTACTGTATATCATTAGCAACAAACTGGAACCAGTTTCTTTTCCTGGATGTGTACAAAAAAAAAACAGATGCCCCGGATAAAGGTTTCAAGTGAAAAACAGGTTGGGATTTGAAAACAGTTGCCTGTTTATTGGATTCCATCCAAACTTTTATTTCCTGAAACAAAAGGGAACTTTTGGTCAGAGAAAGGATTCCTCTAAAAGGGCACACTTTTAGGCCGGTCCTTGAAGAACAGGTACAGATGACTCTTATCATGTCTTCTCCCTTTGTGTAGAACCTCACTGCAACAGCACCTGGGACGGCTGGTTGTGCTGGGATGATGTTGCTGCCGGTAAAACAGCAGTGCAGAATTGCCCCGATTATTTTCAGGACTTCGACCCATCAGGTAAATCTTGTTTTTGTATTTAATAGCAATCTGAGCAGTCCTCAAAGAGGCGTCTCCAATGTTGAAGTTACATGAGGGCTGACACAATGGGTGGTACGTACAAAAGCAGGTAGCGCGCTACCCTTCTCATTGTTTTGTTTCGTCACTGTGACACTAAACATGGGTTTTTTCATCTCGTGTTGACGCTTCTAAATCTTGCAGTAGGCATCCTTCAGTCTCAAGAGATTATGGTAATGTAGTCTGAATTAGACGCCTTGGAGCAGCATCTAGTGTGGTTGAGAAGGCCAACTCAAGAACGACAATCCTTTCCACACTGAAGACAAATACAATCTAAATCTTGGTGTTTTGGATAAATCATTGGACTAGAGCTCAAGAGATCTAGGTTCAAATTTGTGCGCTGCATGGAATGTCTAAAGAACCATAGGCATCCTTCAGTCTCAAGAGACTATGGTAACATGCTCTGAATCGAGCAGTGTCCTCTCCAGAGCATGAAGCCCGGGTAAGGTAATATGGAGGATAGGCTGTTACCCAAGCAGCAGATCCCCCCTCTCCGCATTGCTGAAATGATCCAATGGAAAGGCAAGAGCCAATACAACTGGTTCCAGCAATGTCGCAGGAGTTGGCAGAACGACACATGCTGCCTTCGGGACTCCAGCTCCGGATTTTGCCTCGAGGTTAACTCCTGAAGCCTTTTCCATGAATGGATATAGCCACAAGGCAGTGGAGGTTTGAAATCGGAGTTTTCCTTCTCCTAGATGGGCTGCCTTCCATGGCTGATGAGCCCCACCTACCCAACAATCATAAAACACTACTTGACAGCACCTGGCAACAGAACAGCTTACAGTTGTAAGCACCTGATAGAAGGCAACAATGTCTTTGTCTTCCTTGGGATGGATACAAATGATCTCCTTCAGACCTAATGATGATGTAAATGGATAGAAATGAGGTGATATGAAGGAACAGGACACATTTGGAATGTAAATTCTGAAATCAAAGATGGCTCATGGACTGAGTGGGTGGGAGCATCTCCCCAAAATGTTAGAGTGAGTCATCTCATCCCTGCTCAGTGAACAAGTTAACGTGGTCTGAAACCATTTAAAAATTGTGTTCGATTAAGATATTTTGATGTCCTTAGAAGTTATATAAACAATTGGTGATAGAAAGCTAGCTATGTTATAGCCCGTCTCAATCTGTTACTACACAATAAACTAGTGTGAGATTTGCTGTGATTATAGTAAGAGTCAATTCAAAGTATTTTCTTTCTGATCACATGACTCGTAGGCCAATTTGAATCAGTTCAGCCCTTTGTATTCCCAGTGTGCCTTTTTTTCTCTCTGCCACTGGGACCTTCTACTTTTTTGAAACTGGAATGATTTGAATGGACTTCCCCCATGTGATCAGTTGGTTCATTCGTGTAAAGAGGGGGATGGGGCAGCATGTCTGTCGGCAGTGTTTCAGTGATATAGGCAGTCAGGTTGTGATTGTGGGAACATACAAAGCCATGTTATTTTCCCCTGATCATCATCCAATTTTTTTTTACATATATGAGATTAGCACTAGATCACCTTATCACTTTATCTCTAGAATAGATATACAGTACTAGTTTAAAACTCGATCATCTCTGGACACAAAAAATAAAAATAAAAAATATATATTAGAAATAAAACAGAAACTACCCAGATGAAATAAAAGGCACATGCTAAGAAGACTTTTGGAATGCTACCACTTTTTTCAGGAACACTGTGTAACCCTTCATAGTGTTTTAAAGTTAAAAATGATGTGACCATTAGGTATCAAGATTTGAATTGTTTTGTGTATATAGTGTTAAAATAATTAAAGGGATGCAAAGAAAGTAGCCCGGAAAATGAAAGTGCTTTTAAAGTTGAGGCTTGAACAGTAGTTTACTGTAGTCATTACAAAAACAATTAGCCGGTTCTACAACCGAGTAAGGTTGCTGTACAGTAACATCTTGATAGTTACATGTTTATGTTAAAATATGTAAATAGAAATATTGCATTTCCATTTTGTACGTATAGCTTATGCTCTTCATAGTCCCAATACTTTGGAGCTCTAATATTCTGCCAGTCCAAAACATTGGCATTATAATATATTGGTGCTCCAGGCCCCTGGTACAACAGGCTTTTATTCCTCCAAGGTCTGCAGAATTTTAGTGAAAACAAGCATGTTATCATCATAGTGACAGCTTGCCAAATTCTAAGTTAACAAACCCCTGGAGTTACAATAGGTACAATAGGAATTGAGATTCCTATTTTAAAAAATTCTTGGTGCTCCAGACTTCTGGATTTCCAAGCCCTTGGAAAAGAGATTGTTGACAGATTGGGAGGAGGTATGGACAAATGAAAGAACTATAAATATGGGGAAATGAGACACACAAACATGAATTCAACACATAACAAGGCAACTTCCTGCTACAGCATACATACCAGGTACCAACAATGATCACCATGGATTTCCTTCCATAGATTGACACTGTCATGGTTGGGTTAGCAATTGGCATAATTTTGTGTGTGTGTTTAATGTGCAAAGCTTTTAGTTATGCATTTTAAAGATGTATTCTCTTTATTTTGTTTTTTAAATGTACCGTTTCAGGCTGTAGTATTTTGAATTTTTAGGATTTATACTCCTGTAATTTTGAATTCTGACTGAAGTATTTGCCTGGAACTTAAGTTTAGTTTTTATGTATTTTTAAGCATTTGTGCCTGCAGTTTTTTCATAGCTGTAAATCCTTTGGATGTTTTGAATATTTGTTATTAGTGGTGGGCACAAATTGGAAAAAAATGACAATTCATTTTCATTTGTGATTTTTCAAGGTGGACAAATTACAAGTACATTTCTTTTTCTGATAAATCAAGCTTCTCTGCAATTTTGGTGTCCCTGGGGGACGGCACTTTATAGCCCAACAAATAAATGAATAAAAAATGGGTTAAAAATTCATTGATTTGTATTTGCCGGGGGCCATTCATTCAGAAAAATACAAATTGACAAATTAGTGAATTTTGACAAATTTTGCAGTTTGTTTTTTAAAGCTTTTAGAATTAGACAAGCTGATGTTACCTGGAATTGCTGCAGCAGTAAAAAGCCTTATAGCTTTATACTCAAATGAATATTGATATGATTGGTAATGAACTGTTTCATTTAAGAATTAATCCAAAATGGGATGAATGCCAGCTATGACAAACAAAGGCTTGTGATTTTTAGCTCCCTAGAGGTCTTTAAAGTTCTCTAGGGCTCTTAGGGACATGTTCTGGCATTAGAACCTCTGACCTAGCATAGGCATATTAGGTGGAGAAGGCCTTCATCGTTTTCCTTGAAATTTTCTCCATTTTCAGTGACTTTGTTATCATCAGTGAAGACTGCTGGAGCAAAAATACTTTGAATAGTTCACTTGCACGTGCATTTCCTACTTGCATTTCTAAATAGCCATTCTAACGCATGGTCCAACTAGGCAGGTCCTTTAGATCTCCCACAGTTTTGATGGCACTGGACAACCTTAGCATTGCAAGGATGCCACATTGTGAAGAAAAGGTACCTTCATGAGAGAGTACGAGCTGGGCATGGATAAAAGTATGGAAAGGGGTTGTATGGGGGAGGGCAGTATGAATTAGCACAGCTGTAAAGGAAATTTCCTGATGGGTAATAAGGAACTGAGCAAGAGGGCCAAGGAGGAGGTAGTTGAGCATTGCAGAAATGGGGAACAGGAACACCTTAACTAACCACTTGTGGCAGGGTCCCATGTGAACGAGTTCCCACCAGTCTCACAACATACGGGCAATAGTGATCCAGCCTGACCGTGATCCATGCCCAAGCTGGACCTTTTTTGGGAGCAGAGCTGGGGCAGCCCCTACATGGACAGAACAGTAGCTTTAAAGGATCCTTTCAAATACAATCAGACACAATTCTTTTTCATTTTCTGATTGTTGCCCATCAGAGTACCTGACAGTCTCCAGTTTGGCATCTCCAATGCAGGCAGCAAATACAGGAAACTCATCAGGCTCCACACTTGATTGGTGGACCTTGTTTGGGTTGGAGGGTCACGTGATGTGCTGGCTAGGAGTAGTTTGTTTACATAAGCCTTCAGTATGTTGGTTCCCAACCTTGGGATCTTAGACGTTCTTGGGCATCCATTCCCAGAAATCCTGGGCAGCACAGCTAGTGGTGAAGGCTTCTAGAAGTTCTTGGACATAGAACATCTGGGGATCCAGGGTTGGGAACCACTGCTTTGTTATCTCCTTTGGTAGTTCTGAGAAGTGCCAACTGATGGTCAAAATTGTTATTAGATCAGAGGGAACAAGTACTACTAAGCAGTTGGAGTCAAGCTTTTTAAAATGCTTTGGAGACTCTAGGTGGGGGAGCCACCCAAAGCTGACTGATTTGAGATTTTGGTTACATTGATTTCTCAGGCTGTCATCTCAGATCATAGCCTGACCAGAATACTAGCAGACATAACAGTATGATTTCAGCCTGAAGCTTTTACACTGTGCACACGGGGTTTTTGGGGGGGCCTTGAAGTCCGTATGGCAATAGAGAGTTTCCATTTTCTTTAAAAAGTTGTTCCAGGCATAATCCAACATGCCATCTTCTTAGTGTTTCGTTATATCTTGAACTATTGTTTTCATTGTATATTGCTGTAAAACTGTTGCTATATATTAACTGTTTTTATCTTGTCTGTTGTGAGCCACCCAGAGTAGACAATGTCTAGATGGGCGGCATATAAGCACAATAAATGAATGAATGAATGAATGAATGAATGAATGAATATCATTGTAAATGATTTAAATGTATTTAATACTGCGCTGGGCTCGGAGGGGAAAAGCTAACAGAATAATGATAGGTGTATGTGTTTTTCTTTTCTCCTTCATTTTCTTCAATCAGAAAAAGTATACAAGACTTGTGAACAAAATGGACACTGGTTTGTACATCCTGATAGTAACAGAACATGGACAAACTTCTCACAGTGTAATGCAAGAGTCAAGTTTAAACTCCAGGTAGGTTTCAAAAAATATTTATGTTCCTAACTGGGTGTCTGAGTGAGAGACATTTGCAGAGCTTGGCTTGGGGAAAACATATTAAATTGTATTTGTTACTTTTTTTAGACCAGTGCCAGAAAAAGTCCCTCAAAATGTAATGTTTTAAAATAATGATTTAAGAAGAAGCTTTAGAAGTTGTTAGAGGTCTTAGTTGTAAATCTTTCTGTAGAGGGAAGTGTGTGAGAGCTCATTCTTCCCCCAAAGCAATAAGATATATCATTCTTTCAAAAACTAGATTTTCACTAGTGAGTTAGCAAGCGTGTGAATTTGGACTATAATGCTCTGAACTCTTCATTAACATTGCCAAGAGTGTGTGGTTATTTTTTGGTGCTATAGTATTCCATTTGCAGCCAACTGTGGGATTCAGTGTATAATATATTAGCTGTGTCTGCCAGTAGAACGATACTGCACCACCAATTTCAAACTATCAAACAAAGCCGGCTGGCTAGCTTGGTAGTTTAAGTATCTGGCTGTGGAGCCAGAGGTTGGGAACTGGATTCTCCACTGTGCCTCCTCCAAGTACAGGCAGCCTGTGTCTTCTCGGGCAAGCTGTGCAGTCCCAGGGCACCCCCAGAAGAAGGGAATGTTATACCACTTCTGAGTATTCTCTGCCTAGAAAACCCTGAAAAGGGTCACCATAAGTCAGAACTGACTTGATGGCACATAATTATTATTAATAAGAAAAAGAGACTTCAGTTGCACCAATAGAAATGTTGCTCTTTTTCTTGTTTAAGTTCATTAATCAATAATTTCATGTTGTGTTTCATTCAAATAGCCGCTCAGAGTGGCCGCATACACCAGATGGGCGGGATACCAATCAAACCAATCAATCAATCAATCAATC